CCATTCACAATTGCTACAAAGAGAATAAAATACCTAGGAATACAACTAACAAGGAATGTAAAGGACCTTTTCAAGAAGAACTACAAACCATTACTCAACGAAGTAAGAGAGGACACAAACAGATGGAGAAACATTCCATGTTCATGATTAGGAAGAATCAATATCATGAAAATGGCCATACTGCCCAAAGTAATTTACAGATTCAACGCTATCCCCATCAAGCTACCAATGACCATCTTCACAGAACTGGAAAAAACCACCTTAAACTTTATATGGAACCAAAAGAGAGCCCGCATAGCCAAGTCAATTCTAAGCAAAAAGAACAAAGCGGGGGGCATCACACTACTGGACTTCAAACTATACTACAAGGCTATAGTAATCAAAACAGCATGATACTGGTACCAAAACAGAGATATAGACAAATGGAACAGAACAGAGGCCCCGGAGGCAACACAACACATCTACAACCATCCAACCTTTGACAAATTTCATCCCAGGGATGCAAGGCTGGTTCAACATACACAGGTATTTCCTATTTGAATACCTGACAAAAACAAGCAATGGGGAAAGGGGTCCCTGTTTAATAAATGGTGTTGGGAAAATGGGCTAGCCATGTTCAGAAAGCAGAAGCTGGACCCCTTCTTGACACCTTACACTAAAATTAACTCCAGATGGATTAAAGACTTAAACATAAGACCTAACACCATAAAAACCCTAGAAGAAAATCTAGGCAAAACCATTCAGGACATAGGCGTAGGCAAGGACTTCATGACCAAAACACCAAAGGCATCGGCAACAAAAGCCAAAATAGACAAACGGGACCTAATCAAACTCCACAGTTTCTGCACAGCAAAAGAAACAGTGAATCAGCAACCAACAGAATGGGAAAAAATTTTTGCAGTCTACCCATCTGACAAAGAACTAAAACAGATTTACAAGAAAAAACAAACAAGCCCATTCAAAAGTGGGCGAAGGCTATGAACAGACTCTTTATAAAAGAAGACGTACACATGCCAACAAACATATGAAAAAATGCTCATCATCACTGGTCATTAGAGAAATGCAAATCAAAACTACATTGAGATACCATCTCTTGCCATTTAGAATGACAATCATTAAAAAATCTGGAGACAACAGATGCTGGAGAGGATGTGGAGAAATGGGAACACTTTTACACTGTTGGTGGGAGTGTAAATTAATTCAACCATTGTGGAAGACAGTGTGGCAATTCCTCAAGGACCTAGAAATAGTAATTCCATTTGACCCAGCAATCCCATTACTGGGTATATATCCAAAGGATTGTAAATCATTCTACTATAAGGACACACGCACACAAATATTCATTGCAGCACTGTTCACAATAGCAAAAACCTGGAACCAACCCAAACGCCCATCGACGATAGACTGGACAGGGAAAATGTGGCACATACACACCATAGAATATTATGCAGCCATCAAAAACAATGGGTTTGTGTCCTTTGTAGGGACATGGATGAACCTGGAAACTATCATTCTCAGCAAACTGACACAAGAACAGAAAATCAAACACCGCATGTTCTCACTCATAGGTAGGTGAGTGTTGAACAATGAGAACACATGGACACAGGGAGGGGAGCACTACACACTGGGGTCTGTTGGGGGGAAATAGGGGAGGGACAGCGGGGGGTGGGGAGTTGGGGAGAGATAGCCTGGGGAGAAATGCCCGATATAGGTGATGGGGAGGAAGGCAGCAAATCACACTGCCATGTGTGTACCTATGCAACAATCTTTCATGTACTTCACATGTACCCCAAAACCTAAAATGCAATTTTAAAAAAAAGAATACACAATTTGTTACTAAAATAAGAATCCTTGCAAACAATAGGTTTGCATCATTTCATCTGTAATTAAGTCTCATCATCTCATCTGTAATTAAGCTGGGGACTAGTAGAAACACCCAGATAGCTCTGCTATTAAAAACAGAATAGTTAAGAATGCTAGAAAAGTATGGAAATGATACTCTCAGGCAGAGAATATACTCCACTGATGGTGGAGCTCAAGAAATTCCTTCTATAACCGGCTCAGAAGCAAGCATAGGATTTCACAGGGAAGAGCAATCTGGACATGATGGAAATGGGGCATTTCAGGCAGAGGGAGGGAGAAAAAAAAGTTCTTACCCTTAGGATGTATTGTTTTACAGAATCATTAGGACGAGAGTCAGGACCCAAAGGTCGCAAGGAAACTTAATTACTCAATGGGATGAGATCATTTAAAACAATTTGATTAGGGATTTAACAACTATTAATGGCATGTTCTAAGCACTTGGAATTCAGCAATACTTAAACTTGTTTTTGTAGACACTAGCCGCAATCTCAGTGAGCAGAAGGAGCTTTGCAGTCAGGCACACTAGGAAAACCTGGTATAACAGAGTCACCTCTTAGAGAATCCTGGTGTCCACAGTAGAGCAAGAGCTCTGATAAGTCCTGCAGTGTTTGAGTGTGTGTAAAGCACCTGTGAACATAATAAAGCATGCACAAGGGGAACATTAATATTACTTAACAGCCCTCTCCTAGAATAAAGATTGTTGAATATGGTCATTAATTAACTCACAAAGGAGATTATTATACTTTTCTTTTAGCTCTTATTTTTAGTATATTTAAACATGAAAATATGTAAGATATAAAGACAAGTCTCATAAATGTTTACTTTTAGATTTATTATCATTATATGGACATGGATGTTGAAAATACTAACTCAATAGCTGGTGTCAAAGGAAACACACTCAACATTGATAAAGACCTACCTTTAACAGGTTAAAAATAGGCTACAACAAAATAATATCTAATTTGTAAGGTGGATGCTCAGTCTTGTTTGGGGGCACACGCACATAGGTTACGATATACACAAAATTTAATGGTGTTTATGAGAAAGGAGAGAGAAAAGCCTGAGATTGAGGACTATTGGGAGCTTCAGATTTAACTGTGTTTTATTTCTTGATTGATAGGACAGGAAAACCAATATAACCTAATTTGTCCTATTTAGATAAGACAGACATGGTTATTCACTTTCTTATTCTCTGTATTTGCTGAATTTTTAAAATGTTTCCCTGGAAGAATAGCAAGTGAGGATGCTGTCTGGGAGGCCCAGTGAATTGGCCCCAGCCCTGGAGGCTGAGGTCCTCTCAGGATGGTGCTTCCTCTTTGCACCACAAGGGCTGCAAGTGGTGCTGCTCCCCCAGGCCCCTCCCTCAATGGGATGTCCCCACCTCCACCCTGTGGTTTGGAGAGCAAAAGGTTGTCCTCAGGAAGGTTGCTCACCTGAAGGACTGGGCCCAGGCACACTGGCCCTGCGGCTGGCAGATGCTGAGTCGACCACAGGTAGCACTGGAACCACATGGAAATGGGGATTAGGACCGCTAAACACAGAATAGGTCAGACAAGAACGCAACTGGCAGCTGGTGAAGTGTCCCCAGCCATGCCACACCTTAATGAAAGCATTTGGACTGACCACACACTCCCAATGAGCTGCCAGATTTCTTCTGATGAGGTTGGAGTCATGTTTAGGTTAAGCTCCTCAGTGTGACCCTGCTGTCCCCAAATGCCCATATGCTTCCCCCTTTAACTCTGTATCAGCCCCAGGTTCTGCAGGAGGCACTTAGCAGTAGTAAAATAAGTCACTGATGAATTGGGGAAAGGTTGTAAAAATCATTGCATTCATAAGGATGCTGATTATCTTAGATGACCCCATGGAAGACATCATACAACCTAGTGATCCACCTGCCTGGACATTTCCCGTGGATGGTTAAGGCCTCCCATCTATAGGATGAATGGTAGAATCATTGCTTACCTGCTAGGGTAGTTGGTAACTTTTCGTTATCTGCTGACAGTGAAAAACATAAATATCTGTTAGATCTGGCTTCACTAGTTTGCTCGAATACTAACTTCTCTTTGAGGCAGGATATTTGTACAAATAGGGGTTTTTCAGAGTGATACCTATTTCTCTTGAGTAGACAGATTTGCCTCCACTATACACTGTGTACCAGGATTGTTCTTGGCTAAGATGAAACCTGCCTCAAGAGGGGTCCAGCAGCCTGCCAACCATGCAATACCTACACATTTGTTTATTCTTTCAATAAACATTTATTGTGTGTCTATCATGTATCAAGCACTGGGATAGGGGCTAGGGATACGGTGACAAGCAAGACAGATAAAATCCTAGCCTCAGGGAGCTTCAAATCTGGTGCTGCAATTGACATTAGGCATCACACATGGTCCTTAGATTCCTTGGTAGTACATTTCTCCTGGCCTTAAACAACAACTCAACCTTTCCATGAGCTTGCTTAAAATGCTGGAAGTAGCATAAACAACGCATCATACTCATTTTTTTTTTTTTAACTAGCAGCTCATTGACCTACTTGGTGATATGGTTGGGTGGTCAACATCTTCCAGGGTAGTGGAAGCTGAGAGAACTGTTGGAAAAAACAATACAAAAAAAAAAAAAAATGACCAGGTCAGGCCTGGTGACTTATGCCTGCAATCCCAGCACTTTAGGAGGCCAAGGCAGGCGGATCACTTGAGGTCAGGTGTTCGACACCAGCCTGGCCAACATGGTGAAACCCCATCTCTACTAAAAGAAAAAAAATACAAAAATTACCTAGGCATGGTGGCGTGCACCAGTAATCCCAGCTACTCAGGAGGCTGAAGCAGGAGAATTGCTTGAACCCAGGAGGCGGAGGTTGCAGTGAGCCGAGATCACAGCACTGCACTTCAGCCTGGGCAACAGAGTAAGATTCCTTCTAAAAAAAAAAAAAAGAAAAGAAAAATTAAAAAATAAACTTTTTTAAAAAAGGAAAATGACCTCCAATATTTAATGCTGAATAGATAGAGGGACCCTTTATTTCAACTAGCTTTACACAAGCTCATTCAAAATGGAGAATTTAAAAAGGAACCAGAAGCCTCAAAAACATTATGCTAGGCAGGAAAGGCTGCGGGTGGCATGACACCATTTATGTGAAATATCCAGAATGGGTAAATCTGTAGTGACAGATGGAAGGCTGGTGGTTGCCAGGGGCTGGAGAAGGAACTGTGATAAAATGGTCTGGCTGTAGCAGTGGGCAGAAATGCCATGCCCTCTTCACCTGGCTTAGCCACTACGGGACAGAAGCCCCTCTTTGTGAAAAGCAGCATCCCACAGGACATTCCTGCAGGCACGGAAGGAGGTCACACTCTCTGTGCAGCTACCATGATCCAGGCTGCCCGCTAAGTGCTTTACACGGATTCAGTGACTTAATCCTCAGAACTTCTTGAAATCAGTGGCTATTGTTCCCATTTCCAGATGAGGTAACATAAGCACAAAGGGGTAAAGAAACATCATGAGAGTCTCATACATGGCAGATAGAAGACAGTAGATCCAGTAGTCAGCTGTGAGCACTTCACTGTCAAGTAAGTGGCATATTCCACTTAAGGTGCAAAAATGTCCTTATTTAGTCATGCAGACACTAGAGCTAGGAATTCAATGTGTTTTTTCTCATTTTTGTTCATGTTTGGAAGTGGAGGTAAATGTGCAAACTGGCAACAGCTAAATGACACTCGTTTGTTCAAACATTTACTCATTTATTCATTTAACGAGCACTGAGTGCCCATCAGAGAGCAGACATGCTGACATAGTCCTCAAGACTATGTGTGTGTGTGTGTGTGTGTGTGTGCGCGCGCGCGTGCGCACGAGTGTGCTGCGTGCAATGTTGAAAATGAGAAAGATATGATTTCTGCCCTCATGTCATTAGGGAAGCAAGTGGATACAATATGCAACCCGAAGAGAGAGGAATGAGTAAGAGCTAAAGTGAGGACAGATGAAAAGCTGTGAGAATCCAGAAGAAGGAGCCACTCCTGCCAGGGCAGCTCGTATAGAGACGGGGAGGATTAGGCCAGAGAGGGCAGGGGACTGGCACTGGTGTTGCAGTGGCCACCCAGTAGGCAATGGATATGTGAGTTTGGGAGAGGCAAGGGTAAGAGTACGCAAATTAAATGCAGACCCAGCCCAGAGATTAACTCTTTTCAGTCTTAGCTTTTGTCATCTCAAATAGATGCTCCTAGTTTCTGAATAGGCAATGTGCCTTCTCAATATTTTTTTTTGGAATTTAATAGGGTTTTAATGTGGTTTAGAGAGTTTAGAATAGTTCAGAGATTAAGCTTTAGGGCTCTGAAGTCAGACTGTATTATTCCACCAACCCTGAGGACAATATTTAACCTATCTCAGCATAAGTTTCCTCATTTTGAAAATTGAGGTTATAGACGTCCTCTCATCCAGCTGTTGGGGGGATTAGACAAGAAAATTCATGTAAGACATTTGACATATGTGATTGTTTCAGTGGAAGGCAATCTGTTTATTATAAATTAAGTGCAAATTACATATATAATTTTAGATTTTCTGGTTGCCGCATTTTAAAAAGTAAAAATAAACAGATGGAATTAGTTTTGATAATATATCTTATATAATCCCATGTATCCAAAATGTTATTACTTCAATGTAATAGTATCAAATACAAAATGTAATCCATATAAAAAAGTCAGTGAGCAATTTTACATTCTTTTTATAGTATTGTCTTTCTTAAAACAATTTCTGAGGTATAATTGATAGAGCAAAAAGCTGTGCATGTTAATGGGCATAGCTTTGTGTGTCTGGATACAAGCACACACCTGTGATCCCATCAGCACAACCAAGGTAATAAACATATCCATCCCATCCAAAAGTTTCTTGATGTCTCTTTCGTGTGTGTGGTAAGAACACTTGACATGAGATCTGCCCACAGCAAATCTGAAATGCACAAAACTGTGTTGTTAACTATGGACATGACGTTGCACAGCTGACATCTAGAACCTCTTCACATTGCATAACTGAAAGTTTATACCCATTGAACAACAACAACCCATTTTCCTGAGTCTTTGAAAGAGCTAGTGTGTATTTAACAGACACGGCACATCTCAGTAGCCACGATGATAGTGCAGGCTTAAGGACTTACCAAAGATGATTATTAGCATTGTCAGAATATGAATTATATGATGGTGTCATTGAAATGTCAGCAGTTACAGGTGATGCAGAAGTGGAAATAGAATCAACTAGCGCGGCCAAATGAAAATAGATTGTAATGGTGGTCACTGAGATGCAATTTAGGCATTTCTAAGTTGGATACTTCCCAGACATAAGGCCAGGTGCGCTAGTTTATTTCTTAAAATCAAAAGATATGAGGAGACTCTCTAATAATCTTTTTCTCTAACACACAGTTCCCCCATCTCTTTTCCTCTTACTCTGCATTTGTGAAAGCATGTGAAATGAGAAGACTTGTGTTATGTTCTTTGATAGCAAAATTATAGGTGATCAAACACAGAGTGAAATTCAGAACATCTCAGGGTCCCCTTGTCCCTTTCCTCTCAAATCGTTTGATCTCAGTGGTCTGTCAGCAGTACCTAGAGACGGTGCAGAACCACAGACTATCATTCAATGCAACTTAGACGCTACGATGAATTTACTGTGCTGGTGGTGGTGGCAGTGTCCTACCTGACGATGTTGAATGTGCAGCAGTTGTAGGAGGGAGTAGAGTTGAGATGGCAGCAGGTAGAACTGCAATAAAGAAGTAAGTGTGAACAGTAAGTAACTTGAGGGAGGGGTGTTTGGCCAGGGGCTCCCTGTGATTTCACAAGATGCAGCTTTGCCTCCATTCTGAAGTGACCTCTGAGTCAGTGACAGATATGCCAAATCACCTCCTAGCCACCTGATCTTCAATGCTGTTAGACTCAATCATCCCTGGCCTGTCTCTCTGCCAGATTCTATGTCTATGTGCAGGTATTTGGTGCTCTGTGATAAGAGTTCTGTGTTTTGGGTCTTAACATTCTTCCTAAGGGTTGGCCTGATGGTCTGTATCCTGAGGACCCTCTGGTACCTTTATTCACGTGTGCCGCATGTTTTATTCCTAAGCCTGTTTTGTTCCCAGCATGTCTGATGCTGTTGTACTAGCAAAAAACCTCTCTAGGGCTCCACAGTCCCACATTCTCTCCTGCTCTGCAGACCTAACTTCATGCCATGTCTGGCCACGGGAATTACCTACAATGTCCATAAGGAACATTGACAGAGGCAACTGCAGGAGATAGAGAACAATTGCTTCTCTTTTTGGATTGGCTTGGGTAGATGCTCCCCCTCTTCTGTCACACCTTTCTTCTCTCTACTTGCTGTTGGTCACCATATTTCACTGCATGTCCTGAATAACATGTCCATTTCTGCTCCACGAAGCAAAAGTAACTACAAAATTTATTTTATAAACAAGTGCAGGAGGCTGAATATTGGCCTCCCCAAAGATACCCAGGTCCTAATCCCTGGAACCTGAGCGTATGTTAGATCACACAGCAAAGGGGTGAATTAAGATTGCTGGTGAAACTACAGTTGCTAATCAGCTGCCTTAAAATTAGGAGATTATCCTGCATCATCAGGTGGGCCCAATGGCATCCAAGAGTCCTTAAAAGTGGAAGCAGAAGGCAGAAAACAGTCAAAGAAAGATTGGAAAATGCTAATCTCTCTGCGGGCTTTAAAGATGGAGGCCTGGCCACTAGCCAAGGAATGCAGGTCACCTCTAAAAACTGGAAAAGGCAGAAAATGGATCCTCTTTTTCCAGAGCTTCTAGAATGAACACAGACTGACTGACACTGCTCTTAGCTAAGACCCACTTTGGACATCTGACCCCAAGATCATAAATTTGTGTTGTTGAAGCTGCTAAGTTATGGCGCTTCATTTTAGCAGCCATGGAGAAATTATACAATAAGTAAACATTACATGCAATCAGATGATTCTTTCTCAAAAAAAAATGAAATATTTCCTTCATAAAAATTAAAAGAGTTTTGATATTCCCAGAGAAGCTGGCCAAATTGAAACTTAAATAATTACAAAACCCTGTGTTCCAAATGGTTTCCAGTATTTTTTAAAAATAGTGTTGTCAGCTCTCTTTTTTTAAGGGTTAGTGAATCTTTTAAAGTGATGTCCTGAAAATCATCTCCACCCAAACTCAGTTATACGGGGTAGGTTGTAATAAGTAAAATAACTCAATAGCCACTCTTCCATGTGCTCCTTCCTGTATTGGGTGGGAAAACAGAAATGTCCCAGGGAAAACAGCACAAACAAGTTCTCTTACCTGATAATATGATTGCTGAATTTCCATCACCTATTGGTATGAATAAATTGAAATAGTTCTCATTCTAGTAAATTGAATAACTTTTGCTTGACCTACTTATTGGTTTTCAACAAATCTTTAACGTGACAGGTCTAAAATACAAAATGTAAAATATTGTGGATTCCTGGTGAAATACAGCCCCTGGGACTTAACAGGCTCTCAGAGGTCCCGTATTTGCTGATTTTATTGCCTTTAACACAGACCAGAAAGAAGAGCCTTAACGTATAATACTGGCTCTTTAGAATGCCCACACACTGAAAGCAAGCCAGTCACCTGTGGTGCTCTGGGCCACCTGCCTATCCTGGGCAGTGGTTCCCAACTGGCAGCAAAGTAAGATGACCGTGGTATGTCCACATATGAACTGTCTTCTCAGCTTATGCTTCCTGCAGAGCCCAGTGGCCATCATCTGTCTCCTCCTGAACACTGTGCAGACATTTCTATTAATCTTATATATGTTATTAATATGTATACTATTATATATTGCATATAATATTCAATATATAATACTATATTATAATTATATACTATATCACAATTTTATATCATATTAGATTATTTTATTGTATTTAATATTGTTATAATTTATCTGATATAATTTAATATGTAATAATTATAATGTATAATTATAAACATATATGTATATGTTCTGCTACAAATTTTAAATGACAGTAAAATATATATATCTGCATAGCAAGACCAAAAAAATAGAAATATAAGATTAACACACACATGAATGAAAGGAAAACAAACAGAAAAATTACCAACCAACCAAAAAAACCCTTGGCTGTTGCTAGTATAGATCATTCAATTAAGCTCTGAACTTCCTGGGATTTGAAGGCAGACGGAAATCATGATGCATAATGGAATTCTCACTGCCTGATAAGTGGTATCCTCCTAAAAAAAGTCATTGCCTTTGTTCATTGAGTATTTTAATACCTAGTATAATGTTTTGAACAGCAATTTAAAGAAGTGGCAGAATGTTACATGTGTGTCTATTTTTTTTTCACTGAAATATTTATTTAAAACGTATTATATACCAGGAACTCTCTTTGGCTCTGAGATAAACAAGATCACCAAAGTTCCTACTCTCACAAAACCCACACTCTGGGGAGTGGTGCAGGAGGACACAGATGAGCAGGACAATGAAAAAGGACTACAAAGACTATCTTGGGCTGGGCACTGTGGCTCATGCTTGTAACCCCTGCACTTTGGGAGGCTGAGGTGGGCAGATCACTTGAGGTCAGGAGTTCAAGACCAGCCTGGTCTACACGGTGAAACCCTAAAAATACAAAAAAAAAAAAAAAATAGCCAGGTGTGGTGGTGCATGCCTGTAATTCCAGTTACTCGGGAGGCTGAGGTAGGAGAATTGCTTGAACCTGGGAGGTGGAGGTTGCAGTGAGCTGAAACCGTGACACTGCACTCCAGCCTGGGTGACAGAGTGAGACTCTGTCTCAGGAAAAAAAAAAAAAAGACTATCTTGAATGGTGTGAGTACCATGAAGAGAAAACAAAAGGCTGATCAAATAGAATGCGACTGAGAGGAAGTCTTTTCAGATTGTGTATTTAGGGGAATCCTCTCTGAGGAACTGACATTGAAAAATCCTGAAACCTGATTACAAGGAATGAGCTGAAGAAAAGTCTGGAAGAAGAGTATTCCAGACAGAGGAAAGTGCCCTCTACAAAGTCCTTAAGGTGGGAACTCCCTTGTCAGTTTCAAGGCATAGAACTGTTTTGGGGAACACAGCACAAGAGGAGATGTGTTCTCGAGGATCAGAGACATGAGCAAGGTGTAGGTCATGCAGGGTCTGAAAGGCCATGGTACCAGATTTGGATGTTATTCTAGATACAAGGGAAAGTTTTGGAGGGTTTTGAGTGAAAAGGAATGATCTAATTTATAATTACCAGCCTGCTCTAGTTTCCATGATGAGAACAGATCGTGTATATGTTGGGGGAGGAAAGAGAAGTAGTAGAGGACTATGTAGCAAATTGTTGCTATAGTGACATGAAAGATGATGGGGCTTTGGATGATTGCTGTATTAGTGGAGTTGGGAGATGCTAATGGGCTTAGCATATATTTTAGAAGTAGACACAGAATTTTCTGATGCATTGGTTTTGTGAAGTGAGGAGAGAGAGAAGGAATAAGATTTGCTCTATTTTTTTTTCTGATTTCAGAAACCAAACAGGAGAAATATATCTATTTTTAACATCAACTCTCCATAGAAGTCAAGCAAGGTATCATAATAAAAGTTGATTGACTTTTCTATGCTTCAGTTTCATCCTCAGTAAAATGGGGATTACAGTAGTACCTACCTAATCAGGTTGTTGTAAAAATTAAATGTCATTCATGCAGTGTTTAGAATTAATTACTTCATTAGAGCAGGGGTCAAGAAACTAAGGCTTGTGGTTCAACTCTAGCTGACTGCCTGTTTTTGTTAATAAAATTTCCTTGAACCATAGACACATTCATTAGTTTATGAATTGTCTGTGGCTGCTTTTATGCTAATGAAGCAGAGTTTAATAAATGCAATCAAGACCATCTGGCCTCTCTAGCCTAAAATACTTATTATGTGGCCCTTTACAGAACAAGTTTGCCTCTCCTTAAGGTACTTACCTGCATAATTACTCATTACTTAACTATTTAAATTATTAATTAAATAAATTATTAAATAATGGGTAATTATGCAGGTAAACTTCTTAGAAAAGTGCCTGGGTCATGGTGAACACTCTATAAAAGTTGGCTCTTGTTATCTTTCCATGTGTACTATCTCATTTAACTTAAATGGAGCACTGTAAATTTGGTGTTTTTATCCCCCTTTTATAAAGGTGTTAGTGAATTGCGCAAGGTTACATTAAATAAGTGACTGAGATGGAACTTACACTCAGACCTTCTGCTGCTGAACCCATGCCTTTCCCTCATCCCCAAGCTCAGCCTCAGCTAGTACACAGGCCTGTCTTGAACACACTCCCATTGCATTTACTAATTGTAGGACACACCAGTTTCCTAATACGCTAGGAAATTGATCCTGACACGGTATGTACAGAATATGTAGTGTATTCTCCTCTCCAAATTCAGCTCAGCAGCTGCAATGAAAAAAATTTTTTTTTAAACCAAAAGAAAACTGCATCAAATAAGGACTAACTGCAAATGCAACATGAAAATACCTCCTACCTTGGAGCATTTGCAGTGAGTCTTCAGCATTGTCTGCAGGGAGACAGGTTGGGAATTAGGTAGCATTAGAACTTCAGAGTGAAGTACAGGCAGATACTTCCCTTCCACAGCCACACTGAGCCCCACATTGCAGGAAAGAATATATGCTAGACGGTAATGTAAGCAACACAAACAATTTACCAATTTTCCTTAAAAATCTTGGTGATAAGAATCATGCCTTTAACAGTAACTCCATTGGAAAAATGAAAATAGCAATGCTATAGAATAACCAAAACCCTCATGATGGAAGTGAAAATAAAGTTAATTCTTGTGGAACAAAGCAGTCCAATGGCATTTTGACTTAACAGGATTATCTTAATGGCCCAGGAATGTAGAAATGAAAAATAATGACTGCCAATATATAGTAAACTGATCCCTCCCACCATTCATTCCATTTATCTCTTTATTATCTGCCCATTACCTGCCCAGGTAGCTTCTAGAATGAAAATGTATCAAGTCAGTAAAGCAAAAGCATGAACTTACCTGAGGTAAGCTCTAAGTACTCAGCCTCTGTTAACATAGAGGAAAAGAAAAAATCTACCTTAGAAAAGGGTAGCTGCCTCTAGAGATGCTTTAAAAATAAATTTTAAAATGAAAGAATATGACTCCAAGAAATAAAAGCATTGACCCTCACTGCCTTGGTTCAGGTGACTTTAATTAACTATGAAATATATATTTTTTGGCATAGTGTGTCTAATAACACATGTTCAATTCAATTGTGGCTCTGCTGTGTCTACTGTGCAAACCGTATAATGACTCCAAAGAGGAGAAAACACTAATTATACACATGAAACTGTTAGGTGGAATGCAGTAGCTTTATAGACTAGACTGCTTTGATGGAATTATCTGCCAAAACTCCAAATAATTCAAAAAAATTAAAGGGTTGGGAAAAAAGCAAAATCTAAATGAAAAAAACCAAAACTCTCTCTCTCTCTCTCTCACACACACACACACACACGCACACACACACACACACACACACACATACTTAGAAATTTTGGAAAGTGACCAAGTTTACTGCTGTAGACCTGCTAAATTATTTGCTTTTGTGTCCCCACTGGCACACAAACATATGCCGTTAGCACTGGTAGTATGCTAAGTTAGTCACATGTTTGGTGGAAATTTGTTTGTATGTCTAGGCCAATGTTCTCAGGGGCAATTTACTCCCGCACAGGACACTTAGCAAGAGTGTGAGGAGTAGGCGTGCTACTGTCATTAGCGGGAAGAGGTCAGGGATGCTGCATAACAGCCTGCAATGCACAGGAGGGCACAGCTACAACAGAGTGATCTCAAGCCTGTCCTAGACTGAGCATGATGATGACCATTTGGTTAAAGTCTTGTGATTAGCAATCATAACCTGAGCTCACAATCAAGACTAGCTATTGCTATTCTAGTTTACAAACTCCTTGTTTTGCTACCTTCAGTTGACTGCAAATTTTTAGTGGGAAAAGCCTTTGTCTCTTAGTTCATCACAGTGACCTGAAGAAAGAACCCACCCAGGTAGTGATTCACATCACTGTTGACTCATGCTGTCTTTCGTCATTCATTTTGAAATCTAGTCTTTGTAATGGTACCATCAATATCTTCCACTATTTTTCTCTGTGAAAAATCCACTTCAACATTGTGTGGCTACTAAGTTCCTGAGCTTAAGTTGAAATTCTCACATTACCACCGTGTCTTTACTTTTGGTTCACCCAAGTGGCAGAGATGGTCAATTATATAGGTGCAAGCACTGCCAGTAGGGTGAGTGGAGATGCAGCCTCCATCATGTGAGGGGCACCTATGGAGGGAGAGGTGACCACTACCTGCACAGATGATGCTAGCGTCTTCTCTGGGACCACAGTTATGCAGGCCCCAGCTGGCACGTGGACATTGTCCCAAAAAACTTTCTTTCCCAGTATAGTCCACATCATCCAGCAGAAATTCGCCTCTGCCTTCACCAAATTGGGCCTCAGCAGGGGCTGCAAGGGCACACCCACAGTGCAGCTGCCAGCACACCACGTCGGCTTCATTCAAGTCCCACTGGTCATTGCAAAACCTGCCCCACTGGCCATGGTAGAAAACTTCCACACGCCCAGAACACCTGCCTGACCCATTCACTAGTTGCAACTGTGGTCAGTCTTTGGAGGAAATACAAAAATACTGCATGTTAGCAGAAGGAACATATTCTGCATTAACATATTTGTTTCACCTTGCAATAAGCATTTACTGAGCACACACCAGGGCAGAATATATAGCACTGTGGATACTGTGGTTAAACGGACAGATCCAACTCTGGCTGCCACAGAGTTTGGGGTCTAGTTTGCAAGTCTGGAGGAAGCAGTCATGTTAATCTAAAATTACGTGGAGATTTGCAACTATGCTAAGTGCTAGGAAGCAGTATACTCTCATGATGTTTTGAGAGCATATAACAGGGTGGGGGTGGGATTTGGGGATATCTTTCCTAAAATATGACAATGGATTTTAGGCTTGAAAGAGGAGCAGGAAGAAGTTACACAGACAAAGAAAGATAGGGAGGAGGACAGAGCCTTTCTCTGTGCATTAACACAAAATCAAAAACCAAACACCTGTACAGATTTATGAGTGAAGTGAAAGCATTGGGATCCTCGGATGAAACCTTTCTGTTTGGCAGTGTTTGTAGGGTTGGAGATACATCCATCACATTAGCAGCAAATGACCCATCAATCTGTATCAGCCAGGAAGTTACAAAATCTTGACTTACCACCAGGAAATGGTGTTAGGATCTCAGGATCTATGAGCAGAGAGAAATAAATGAAGTGTCATTGTCATGCAAAATAGTCTACCCAAGTTTACTGGGCAAGCATCAGCATGTATGTGATGGTCTCCTGGAACAGATGTTAAGCTAACGGCATGCTTTGAGAAATATATCCAGTAGCTTCTGATCAGTGGCAAGTGAGAAATTTATCATGCATCTCAGTCATGTACAGATTGATCTTTTAAGATGGATTATTTGTGCAAATGTACCTTCTACCAAAAAGGCAAAATGTTCATAGAACTATATTCCCAAGGCACTCATAAAGGAGAATGCTGGAGGGCTCAGGTTAACAATAGGCTGTGCTTTTCTCAATAATCTCTGAATTTGCTAAACAGAGATGGAGAGGGATCTCTTCTGAGGCCATAGTCACTGCCTTTCCAGCCTTAGAGGCATGATTTTGGTGTCCAAAGTTAGCATTTTCTTTAGTCTGAGTTTAATAACATTTTTGCATGATAATTTACTAAACCATATTCATGTCCTCACTCCATGATTTTCTAAAATACATTTAGACAACAGTTTGGGTATCAAAGATTTCCTTGTGGTTAAAGGCAAGGAAGCTACCTGTTTTTTCTCTTTCCTTGGTTGTGTCCTTTTGATTAAATTCAGTTTTGTTTTGTTTTGTTTATTTCTGTTACTCTTCAATCTCATGCAATGCATTATGTTGGTAAATACAATCAAAGGATTAGGGGCATTAGTGGATGTTCTGTTAAAGATATAGTAAAGTGTGATTCTTACCAAAAGTTTGCAGGGGTTCATTTTCATAATCCATGAGGAGAAAAGAAAGTTATATGTAAACTGAGTTTATTAGAGATGATAAAAATTCTGGAATGCCCTGTACTTGCTAGAAGGATCTGCTGCTGCCCCATTACTAAGACCCCAGTGAAAAACTTCACCCTGGAATTTGTCTTACATACCATTACTTCAAAAAGACTTAGGGCATATCTGGGAAGGAAAGACCTTTTGACTATTTTCAATATTCATTGAAACGCAAACATTTTAGTGTCAACACCAGGCTCAGGAAGCCTATGTGCAACTAGGGTTGGGTTTCTAAGTTTCTCACCATGAGATGGGGTAGAAGACCCCACAGGATAAATAGGCACATCTTCCTAAGGGAATGAAGTTACCTAATGTTGTTGAGTTTTTACAACTTTGTTTTTATATTAAAGTAAATATGGCTTCATTGTGACTTGTAAGAAAAACTGGGCGACTTTTTAAAGTAAGTAAAGGATTTCAAAGAGAGTGAGCTTAGGGCATGGAAACATGGGTCATGCTCTTTGGGGGTATTTGAAAAACAGTGGAACTGACTAATCCATTTACATCTGGTCCTCTCACTCAAGTAGTCAATTACATATTTCCCCAATTAACATTCTTCTACTTTCTCTCAATGTCACTGTCACTGGAGGTGGAGGGGAAGAGCACTTGAGGAAATGGAACTTGGGAAAGTGTGATCCTCAAGGATGGAAAAAGGTGGGTCTCAGCTCCTGTTTAAATAAATTAGGGCAGATCAGCACAGGGTTCCCTGCACCTGGGGAGCTTGCCAGGATTTCTGGGGTGTGAGTGTGTTGGGAAGGCCTGAAGTAGGTGAGGAGAGTGAGGCTACAGGTAGAGCATCAAAGACAACTCTGAACATTTGAAAATTTTTGCCAAGGTGCAGGGCAATTTTTCCAGCATGTAGACATTTGGTGCAGGAGACAGCACTGGATATGGAGTCCAGAGACCTAAATATTTGCTGGGGGACTTTGGTCAAGGCATGTAACTTTGACCTTGCTTACCCTTGTCTCTGAACCCCAGTTTCCCTATTTGCAACACAAGGCTCATAAAACAAGCTCCCCTAAATTGCTGTAAGGGTGGAATGGGATCGTGAACAGGAGGTGCTCAGGAAACTGGAGAGCACTCAGTGACTGATGTTGCGGTTATGCTTTGTGACAGTCTCTTAGGCAAGACCACTCAGAGATCTGTTACATTTGGACATGGAGCACATGGCCTGTTAAGGCTACAATAATGATTCAGTGAATCTGCCAAAATGCCATATGTAAAAAGAGATGAGATTATCCCCGTCAAAAATGACAGGATAAATTTAATTAACCGTAATTAGTAGAGGGGACAATCAGAGGAAATGACTGGAAAATAAACTAGACCAAGGCTAACACTTGGGGAAGAAACTATAGTCAACTTTACTTTCATTACTGATACAACTATTAATTAATCAACAATCAGTTAATTATTAACAAACAGTTATTGCAATCAGTAAATTCAACTGCACATGTTTGATTCTGAAGCAGCGTTTCGCAACCTCAGCACTGCTGACATTTGGGCTGGAAAGTCTGTGGTGGGAGCTGTTCTGTGCATTGTAGGATATTTAGCAGCATCTCCGGCATGTGCCCACACGGGCTAGTGGCACCCCAGTTGCAACAATCAAGAACATCTCTAGACATTGCCCAATGTCTCCTGGAGGGCAAAATCATGGGAAGTGTTTTTAAATTGCCTGAAGCAAGATTTATATTTACAATATTTTGCTAACTAGGTTGTTCTCAGTCCCTCTCTTCCACCTTCCCTCCCAAGGCACCTGGTGCAGGACTTGCTGCCTGAGAGTGGCAGTCTTCTTTCTGCCTGTCCAGGTTTCCTGGAGCACCCCCATGAGGCAAAGGTAAATTCCAGGCAGGCCTGCTGAGGACTCACAGGAAAGGCTTTGGACAGTGTTCTGTTTGGTTCAATAATAAGGCAAGACCCTGGGGTCCAGGAGGTGGGAGGGGCTAGGGCTGCCTTTGCCCTGCAGGCTGATGAGAGGCCTTGGGAATGATGGTTTAATGGACTGGAGCTCTCCTCTGCCCTCTTAACTGCAGTTGAGATGGAGCTGGCTGCACTGGGCAAAGTCCTAGCCACAGCAGGCCCTTGTCTGTGCAGTCCAGTCAGAAGGGAGGCGAGACGTCTGCTTGCCGGCAGTCACCTGTAAGTCTATCCTGTGGAATGGAGACGTTGTCTTCACTGCTGCATCTCTACAGCCTTTGGCAGTAAATATTGTTGAATGCTTAGCTTCTGGCCACTTGATGATGGACCTAATCCTGCTTCCTAGTGTGTTGGGTTTGGGAGGAATTGGCAGGGGAGTGGGGGAGAAAGACACCCTCTTTGACTCTCGGTCGTCTGCAGCTGAGGAGCAAGGAGGAGCCTTCCTCTTCCTCCTCCTCCTGATTCTACACTTTGCCCCATCACCCAAAGCCAGATTATCAGAGACACAGCTGCTCACTCTCTAGAGGGCTGATTTCCTCAGAAAGCAGAAGTATCAACACAGCCTCATGGGCAGCCTACTTTTCAGGCTGTGGAATGACAAGACAGTGGATTAGAACTGACAGGCGCTTCCTCCTCACAGCAATACAGTGAAAGGCATGATCGTGATTGTCATGATGACCATTCTCAATTTGTTAGGTAAGGGCAAAATGATGGCAAAAGGCCACATTAAGCTCAAGGGGGCAGGGAGTTTGGGGAGAGGGAATCACAGAGGAATATTCACTGGGGTGAGCCTTACCTAAGTCCCATGGACCCTGCCCTTCCGTGATGCTCTTCTGTTACACTCCTGAAATTCTTAACACTTTTTGAAAAGGGGACCACATTTTTGTTTTGTACCAGGATCCAAAAATCATGTACCTGTAGCTGGACTAAGGCTTTTCGTCTCAGATCTAGCATTCTTCCCAATATGATTACCTTTGACTTTTCAAATAGACACAGAGGACTGGGGTTAGAGTTAGAGAGTTCAGCTGCTTTACAAATATCAGAGAGGAGTAGGCTTCAGAGCGAGTGTCTTTCTTGGTAAGAGTGGCTGAAGACCTACATGGACAGGGAGTTTCATACAATGAAATGATTTGTTATGAAGGCATTCTCTCGAACCGGGGAGAAAGAAAGAGCCTCAGGGACTGCTCAGAAAACAATGAGAAATCAATTTTCAGAAAAGATAGAAATTTACCTGAGCAGATGACACCAGCGTCTTCCCCGTGCCCACAGTTGTGGGTGAACCATTCAGGGTGGGAGAACTGCCCCAGGTAGGCCTCAGTCCCAGAACACAGCACGTCGTCCAGAAGAATGGGGCCAGAGCCTTGGCCAAAGTGGGCCTCTCCAGGAGCGGAGACGGCTGCCCCACAGCCCAGCTGCCGGCACACCACCTGCGATTCCTTCCTGTTCCACAGGTCATTGCACACCGTGCCCCACACGCCTTCAAAATACACCTCGACTCTTCCCGAGCACCTTCCAGAACCTTCCATGAGTTGCACAGCAAGCCAGTCTTTGGAAGAAAGGCAGTCCCCCAAACCCTATTTAAGTGTTGGCGAAGGGAGTCACTTTCCCCACCGTCTCCTGTGGTCACAATAACAACTGCTATTTACTGAGCACCATCTATCTGTGCTCCTGGCACTGGGCTCAGCCCTGTAGAGCTGCCATCTCTTTAAGGCTCATGACTCCCTTGTAGGGTGTTATTGTCCCCATGTTACCAGGAAGGAGCTAGGATACAACAATGGCAGCAGCTTCCTGCAGGTCACGGTGTTAGTGAGGGGACAAAGGGGAACACTGTCGCATCTCCTAGGGCCTTCCTGTTCTGGGTGGGGTCATCCATGGGACCATGTTAGGTTTGCCCTGCCCGTGATGAGATGTCAGGCTTTGCTTTGCTCTTTTGAGAAGTGCCCACCCTGGCAAGAATATCTGCATCTAAGAAGATAGAAGCTCTCAGGCTCTGGGCTTCTTGCTATTTTAGCTTAGAAAATCTCTCTTGGATTTTTGGGTAATTTCTGCCATGTCATTGTCAGTGTTGAGTATTGAGTGGGGTGAAATGTGAGTGCACAGCAAATACTCGCACTGTACTTTTCCCCAAAGATGCTGCTGCCTGCTCCTGTCACCTGGCACCTGCATTTCCCCCCTCCTAGTACTTTGCTGGTCATGATCCGCCGGGCTCCCTACAGGAATCTCTGGGGATAGCAAGGCACCTAGGATGGTTGGCTTCAGAGTGCGAGGGCCACAGCCGGCCTCTCGGTTTGCTTCTCAGCTCTGCCACACACTAGCTGTGCAATTCACGTGGGCCACTTATTTTCTGGCTTTCCTCATCTGTCAGTGATAATCGTACCTGCCTCAAAGGGGATTCAGGAAACAAATACAAGTAAAATGCCTGGTGCAGAGGGAACACTTAGGAGCTGGCAAATTTTATTACCCCCATGTAAAGAGCCAGTAATAAGAGAGATAGATGCAAATGCCCAAGGCTTGCTGCAGAGGGACAGCAGGGGCCTGGCTGGTGGGTCTCCTGCTGTCTCTCTCTTCCCAATGGCCACAGGGCAGTGTTTCTCAAAGTGTGGCTCTCATATAACCTGCCGAAGTCATTTGAATCTCTAGGGGGGGCTTGCTAAATATGCAGATTCCTGAAGTGCACCCCATGTCTGGGAATGTGGTCAGGATTTTGCATGTTCAGTAAGCTCTTGCTCTTGGGATGATTATCATACACTCCATCATTTAAAAACTCCTGAAATACAGACCTTTCAGTCAGGTTTTTTTTTGTTTGTTTGTTTGTTTTTTTTTAGAGACAATCTCACTCACTCTGTTACCTAGGCTGGAGTGTAGTGGTGCAATCTTGGCTCACTGCAACCTTTACCTCCTAGGTTCAAGTGATTTTCCTGCCTCAGACTCCCAAGTAGCTGGGGATTGTAGGCATGTGCCACCACACCAGGTGAATTTTTTTTTTTTTTTTTTTTTGTAGAGATGGGGTTTCGCCATGTTGGCCAGGCTGCTCTTAAACTCCTGACCTCAAGTGATTCACCTGCCTCGGCCTCCCAAAGTGCTGAGATGTGAATCACGATGCCTGGCCAAAGTCAGTCTTTAATGTATAAGAACCAAGAAGTTTAAACAAACATCTGAGGGCATCCTTGTCTTGTTAGGCAGAAATAAAACTGGGATGTCTTTATTTGTGGAGATATGCAGCTTGCCTGACTGGGTGGGGACTGTCCATTCCTGGACACAGTCCCTGCAGACCCCACCTGTCCTCGGCCTCTCTTCCTCAAGGCCAAGGGGTTGTCTGGCTGTGACTCACCTTGCTCAGTCACAGGTGTATCTCGGACAGTGCTTCTCTCAGCGTGTCTGCGCCATAGCCTTCTTCTGGATCCTCCCACGTCCCTCCTATAACAAACTGAGATGCAACAGACACGTTAGAACCCAGCAGGGATCCTGAGCATGGCCTAAGACAGTGGCCTCATGGGCCCCACTGCAAACCTGCTGGCTCATAGCTGCAGCAGACAGGGCCTGGGAATCTGAATGGTCAACAGTCCGTGGGATTCTGTTGTGCAGCGAGCTTGGGAACCCCTGTCCTGGAATCACTTCTTCTTAAGCTCTTGCCTTGGTGTGTAGTTGGTTTTATGACTCTTCCTTTTAATCAATTATATGTTTATACTAGTTATTCCAATTTTCTGTCAGCCAGTATACTTTATTACACATCTTTAGCAATCTGTAGTTTAGCCTGGCATTTGCTTTAAGTAAGCTACAATTTACACATAAATTCAACCATGATTTTTAGTTCATCTGATCTGTTCTACTGTCTCATGAGTTTGTCCTGTTTTAGCCATTTTTCCCTTTTTGTGTTTTTTCTGTTTATATTTTTATTATGTATTTTTTCTTTCGGGGGGTTATTTAAGTAAAACTCATTCATTCATTTTTGGATTTAATTAATTTTCAACCTAACCAGAAAGAGTTGAAAACCAGTTTTTCAAAAGGACTGCTGTGTTTATGTGCAGTAGACAAATACCTCCTCTCTTACCAAAGTTACCTCTAAAGCACAAAATCCAAAAAGCACCTGGTTAGGTACAAGAGCTTTCATCTGACCAGAAAGAGTTAGAAGCCAGTTTTTAAAAGGACTGCTGTGTAGACAAATACTTCTAAAGCACAAAATCCAAAACTGAATGAATTTTACTTAAATAACTCCCCCAAAAGAAAAAAATACGTAATAAAAATATAAACAAAAAAACACAAAAAGGGAAAAATGGCTAAAACAGGACAAACTCATGAGATAGTAGAACAGATCAGATGAACTAAAAAGCATGGTTGAATTTATGTGTAAATTGCAGCTTACTTAAATGCCAGGCTTAACTACAGATTTCTAAAGATGTGTAATAAAGTATACTGGCTGACAGAAAATTGGAATAACAGATACAAACATATACTTGACTAAAACAAAGAGTCATAAAACCAACTACACACCAAGGCAAGAGGTTAAGGAGAAGTGATTCCAGGACAAGGGTTCCCAAGCTCGCTGCACAACAGAATCCCACGGACTGTTGACCACTCAGATTCCCAGAGCTTTCATCTGATCATTGTCACTGCCACAGAGCCAAGGAAGAGTGAGGGTCTGTGCACAGGGACCTGCTGCAGAGGGGCTGATCAGACAGAGGCCCCTGATGCCACTCGATTGGCAATTAAAGGCCAGCACTATTATCTCTTTAAAAGAACAGCTTCAGAAAGGAGTTGAGATGAAGCCAGGGTGACTGGCTTAGGAAACGAGGGGTGAAAATAAGATGTCAGGACCAACCCAGCAAGAAGTCTTGGATGTGAAGCAAGGGAAATTTCCAAGAGGGGCTTGGCTGGATGGCTGAAACCCAACTCCTGGTCTTTGATGTGGAAAATCAACCTACTCTAAATCTGGAGTGAGGTGAGGTGCAGACACAGCGCCCATGCATCCCCCAGGGCTGAAGCCACTATCCCTCCCAGGCTGCCGCAGTGCACCCTGCAGAAGGGCTGGGTGGCCTCAGGTGGGGAGGTGGAGCCAGACATTGGTAGGTGGTCTCAGGGGGTGCTTGGTCTGTTTCGGAGTGTTTGGGGGAATATTTACAATAAGAGATGAAGAGTCAGGAATGAGGGAAGATTCATGACTAGGTGAGGTGATAACTGGTAGCTCAGTTGGGGAGGGTGGCACTGCGAGCAGGGGACAAGGATGGCAGCACTTTGGGATAGGATCAAAGAGGCAGAGTGAATGAAACAGGTTGGTTGTACGTGGTGAGCCTGTGTGTGTGTGAGACACTGTGGATGAATGTGTGAGAGTGTGTGTGTGGGTGTGTGTATGTGTATGTGAAATAATTTGAGTGGTGTGAGTGTGTGTGTGTGTGGTGAGTGTATGTGAAAGATGTGAATGGTGAGTGTAAGTGAAGGGTGTGTGTGTTCTTGTGAATGAATGTGAGTGGGGAGTATGAGAGTGTATGTGTGAGAATAAATGTGAGTGGTGGGTGTGAGTGGTGTGTATGTGTATGTGAATGAATGTGAGTGGTAGGTGTGAGTATGCTTGTGTACAGACTGGCTCTGAGAGTTGCAGGCCTTGCAAGTCGGGCAAGGCAGTGTGCTTTCTGCTGAGCATATGGCCAGAGGTTCTTGGGACCACAGGGCAGCCGTGTGTCCAGCTGTGATCTTACACCAGGAATTTCTAGCTGACCATGGTGCCAGGGCTAGGAGTCCCTGTCTGAGGAGGGAGCGGCAGGGCTGAGAGTGTGGGTGGGGCCTGCGGGGGTGAGGGAGAGGGGTTGTGGTCAGTGTGGGGCCCAGGCAGAGCAGTGCACACAGCTGAATGGATTGTAAGTTGATCATAATGGGGTTGATAGAGACTTTTTAATACTTTCACCTGGATTGTGTTGATTAGCTAAATTCTGTGCCAGGCAACAATTGCATTATCAGAAATAGCCTTTCTCTCTCTGGTGGTCAACAAGTTCCCCTTTGTCCTCACATTTCATGTGAATCACCCTAATATCAATTGCGCTCCAATGGTTTGCAAGTTCCCCAAATCTCTTCTACTATCAAAGTGACCTGCAGGGAACTGCAGTGGTGTCCTTGGGTGGCTGTTCCCAGACGGTTTCACAGGCCCCATTGTCTGTAAGACTCTTGTGCAATCAGCACCAGGAACCTAGAAAAGCCTGTTGGGCCATATCGTATCACTAATCCGCATGTTCCTGGAAGCCCAAAAGCACCCCCTCCATTAACTCTGGGGCGACATCCACATCTCGGGGGGAGAGGTGCAGCGGCAGTACAGGTGGGCACAAAAGGGTTGGCAAAGGGGCAAAGATGAAGGAGGCACCAGGAAGCTGGCAAGAAAATGGCCCCATTGATAAGTGAGACTTGCAAATGGTGTCTGTAAGATTGGCTGAGCCTCTCAAATATCCTTAGATTTGCAGCCACTCAGAGGAAACAGCCTCATAATCTTGTTGTTTTTATTTTGAGAAGGATCTCGTAAGTGGAAATCAGTCAAGGGTGTGATGTCCTTGCTCATTGTGTTTGCTCATTTTTTTAACTAGTGATGGAGCGTTCTCTACTGTGCCAGCCACTGTGCTAAGAAATGGGCGCAGAGCAGAACAGTATGTGCCCTCAGCCTGCGAAATGCTCTGGTATTTGGTGGTAAGCTTGCAAATTTCCAAGAAAGCAGAACAAGGCAGAGAAGAGGAGAGTCGAATATTGTTGTAACTGGATTTCAAAATGCCCCATAGTCTCATTCGGGCTGCTTTTGCCACTGGGTTTTTCACCTTGATGTGAGGAGGAGGAGGGATTCAGGACGGTTGGGACCAGAATGAGGCTGATTTTTCTTCAAGGGACCCCTTCTCTGCCATTCCCAATAGATTAGTAGTTATCAGGGTGTAGTCTTAACAGAAACACTTAGAATTTTGGGGTGTTTTTTTTTCCAGCTCCCAGAAATCATTAAACTCATTGCAGATTGAGAATTGTCTCTTTTGCATCCTTACATCTGTCTAAAATCCTTTGGGCACTTGATTCCAAAGAGATTAAATCATAGGCTGATTCCATTTCTTAAGAGTAGCAATACATTTTGAGTAAGGCAAGGAGCCCAGGAGAGCTGGGCTGAGTTCACCGAGTTTCATTCTGAATTGGTCCAGGGTCATTTTCTCCATGCCTACAATTACATCCCCAAAGCTGATATTTTGTCACTTTGAGCACCATCAAACTCAGAATCATCTTTGTCATGAGTGGCACAAACATGATGAATATGAATTTTGAATTCTCTCAGAAATTTTTAAATTTTTGCTATGCTTCAGAAACTTTCCATACACATTTGGTATAGCTTGTAAACCCCCGAGTACTAACCTGCATAGTGTTGATATACTGGAAGAAAAAAACTCCTTTCCAGCTATATATTTTTTAAGTATTGAATCCATTACTCAAAACCTATTACTGAAATATTGAAAGAAGAAAATACCTTGGTTTCCTGGGGAATGGATGTATCATGGTAAAATGTTATATTCTGAATCTGATAATCTGTATTTTCATCTCTTCCCAGTTTAAAATACCTGTAGCTTATAATTTACAGTGTCTATAACAGTTAACATTGACTGAACATTTTCTATGTCTGAAGCACTCTTCCAAGTATTTTATAAACATTTCATTAAATCCCCCAAACAATCCTGTGAACGATGTTCTTTTTACATGAGAGAAATAGCAGCACAGAGAGATTTAAAACTTGCCCAAGTTCACTGGGCCAAAAAGTGCCCAGGTAGCACTTGGATAATCCAGATCTTTCTGCTCTAAAGCCCATATTCCCAAGCTGAAACCTCATTGGACAAATGGATAGGAAACAAGGCTCAGACACTCAAAGGATTAAAAAAATTATTGAAATCCTTCCTAATAACATGGTATATTTTAATAAATGTTTGAATATTGGATATAAACATACTCATACAGTTACATGCAGAACAAAAGAAGAGTTTGAGCAGATTGTAAACTTTAAAGTCAATTGTTATTCTGTAGTTGGTGAGTTATATTTTTCCTTCATAGTTAATAAAAATTATATTCAAACAACTTGTTGGTCAAAGGTATTTCCAAATTTTCATTTGTTGGGACAAGTGGGACATTAATGTTTTCCCCTAAAGCCACAAAATAATGATACAAATAATTGAAGCTATGTGGATATTTTAAATTAGTTTAGTTTCATTAAACTTAAAATTTCCTTAAGAGGACTAGATATGGAATACACATTAAAACCAAGACTATCAAATTGATAAATCTATTTTTTATAAAAAGGTACAGGTTTTCAGATTAGAGGGCATTATGAATCAAGTCCAGATAATTTTATGTCATGTCAAGTACTTCAGGCTAAGCTTTTTTTTTTTTTTTTTTATAGCTCCATTCAGAAATCATGGCTGTAATTCCATACTTCTAGTGCTAAATATCAATTCATAAGCCAAAGAACATTTTAAGAACGCTTATTAGATCATACCACAGCCAAGTATTCTTTCTTTGTCCATTTCTCTCCAGAATCCCACAAATAGAGCTATGATTTTAAAGAGCAATAAATTGGCTAATGCTTTGTTCACAGAAAACAAATCTTACAGAAAATATTCAGCCCAAGTTCCCTAAAATCAGTTATGGTTATACATTCAGCGATCATCACAACAATATCTTGCCAGTGGCTGGATTAACTAAGCAGAGTAAAAGCTCTATCTGCATTTAATGTTAAGCTTGTTGTGCTAATGGCCTATGTGCAAATAACCATACTTCAAGCTTGTAACAAGGCATGAGTAAAATGAACCTGTACATCAGCTGCAGTACCTGCTTCAGGTAGAATAATGGCATGGAAGAACAGCAGCCAAAGGAGGAGGGCTTGGCAGCCCATGTTGGGAGAGCTTCCAGCTACAGCAAAATCTGGGGTTTCAGCTTTATATACTCTCCAAGTTCCCCTGCTGGAGGTGGGTCAATGCAACTTGATGCTCTTCTCAGGCTTGGATTGGCAGGCACTCAGACCAGCAGACTCATTTGCTTTGGTATATTGTGTGTATCTGCTATGGAAGAAAGGGTGATTCTACCTGTGAGAGGCATTCCATGAACAGTTGAAAGTTAAAATCATAAAGAAGAAAAGTCAAACCATGTGCTGATACCTGGCTAAGCAGATGGGGCCCTCCTGATGCTTCTCTTTTGGGAAAGAGGTCACCAGGAGCCCTCGATCTCATGGAGGGCATCACTTCTTGCAGGCGGCTGTTCCCAGTAGATGCTGCTGGAATTCTACTCGTCTTTCAATGCCCACACACTGCCTCTCCTTCTCTCTTGTTTTCCTCATTTCCCAACTACATGTGTTTGCACCCTTCTCTAATTCTACGACATCCACTTGGCATGGCTTCTATATTCTGCCTCGATTATAATTAATACCTTAATACATTCTAATCACACTTAATAAATTCCGCCTTGATTGTCATTACTAGTGTTTTTGTCTGGTTTCCTCCATTATCTTGTAAACTTTGAGGGCAGAACTTCTTGTTGTATTGTTTATAGTCTTACTTATAATATTGCTTACTTATGGCAGGCTTGGTGTGATGCCTTCTACTTAAATCTTTGTTGAATTAAACTTTGCCGTACACAGGGATATCTGATGTCCTGCAAATTACTTCCCTAACATATTTTTCTCTTAACTTAGATGATTGTTTTATGTAACAAACTATTCCATAATCTGAAATAATTCTCAGTCTTCTAATAGAGGAACCCATCTTCTCTAGCATATGTCTAACTCCATATCCCTGTGAATGAAACGAAAAGAAGGTTTTTTTAGACCCCACTGGGTTCTGTGTTGTGAGAAAGAGTTGCAAGAAAATATTTTTTCCATCTGAATACTCTAATCTTACTTATCAGGACTGCTTGGCAATTTGGGTAAATCCAATGTGTTGCTCACTATATCCAGCAGGAGTGGCTTCCAGGCTACTCTTGTGTGTGGAATATCACAGATTGGGCAAATACATATTTGGTCCTGATGGCAAATATAGGGTCATGGGTAAAGTAGAGGGAGGTGAGAGTTGGGGCTTGGGTTTGAAGGGCCTACATCTTCTTCCCACCATTGTGATTTGGGGCAATCCATTTAGCTTCACTGAGGCTTAGTTTCCTCATAAAAAGTGAGATAATACTATCTGCTCTTCTTACTCTAGTGGGTTGCTGGGAAAACAAAATTAGGCATATATAAGAGATCTATATATTATACAAGCAAGAGGATGTTTCAATAGATATCTTTATAACAGAGGTTTTGAGCTTTCCTGACAGTCCCAATATTAAGTTGTAAAATAAATTCAGCCAAATTTAGCCAAGGTAGGAAAAACAGGGCATAGAGAGAGAAAGGGTATTACACAGACAAAAATAACTGCAGCTGATATAACATCTCACAGACAAAAGTGAATATTTATTTTCCCATAACCTAACCTTTCCTTAGAGATTCCATTCTGCTACAGGCAGAATATAGAATGACAAGTCAAAATTAATCCCAAGCATTTCAGGCTTATTCCTGGTATATCCACGTTTCCTTTCCTCCTCGTGCCTAAAAGCATAAAGCACGTTGTGGCCCTTGATGGGAATCCTGGTTCCTGGGTATTGGCTTCCATTCATGCTGCCATCCTCTGGGATAGATGCTAGTTTTGTCATATCCTCAGACACAGTCCTCCCTTCATTCTGGTACTTGGTGAGGTGTCAGTGGCTCTATCTGGTCTCAGGTTGTAGCGTCCTTGCTGGTTTGCTCAGCATTATCTCCAGCTCCCAGCATCCTCCTCTCTCCTCTAACTTTGGCAACACTTTTGGGGGGATGAGCCACTCCAGGGGCTATCTTTAGCCTTTTGTCTTTGACAAGCCACCCAGCCCTCCCTCCTCTCACCTCCCAGAGGATGGGAGGGATGTAAATCTCTTTTTTCAGATCCCACCATCCCCCAAATTATCTGAGCATTCTGTTGTCCTATGGGAATCAGCGACCCACCAGCAACCTCCTGCTTCACTTCTGTCCCCTTGAGGCTTTCGAGGACTTTTAATGGAGTGCAGCTTCTTCCCGATATTCCCTAATTTCCATCTTTTGACTAAAATGTCAATAACATGACATTTTTTACTTTCTAGTGCCATTTCTCCTGGGAGCGATGGGGGGCAGAGGGAGGTAGGAGAAAGACCATAGATGGATACTTCACAATATTGTCTCATGATACAATGGAGCAGATGAATCTTCCACTCAGAAACCCACCTGCTGGTGAAATGGACTGGGCTTTGATGCCAGAGTAGAGGCTGATTGGAGTTTCTCCTAGTTATACTGTTTCAGCTCGAGGCACCTTTGCTCTCTCAGGCAAGAATAGACATGGATCCCACAGGGTTGCTGTAAATAATCAAGAATATGTATGAAGACTGCCCAGTAGGAAGCCTGGTACGTAAATAACAGGTGCTGCTCCTAATTGTTATTGTTAAAAACCATTGCCCCTCCCTTCCCATAGAGTTGATATAAAACTACTAGAGATATGTGTGCAAGGGATTGGAGGTATCTTTATTGTAGTAAGTTTTGACAAGTTGAATTGTATAAATAGTAAAGTGACCTGAGTCTTGGACGTTTCAACCACTAATATTAGCATTTTGGAGAACTTGGATCAGGACAAAAGCTTATTAGAGGTGGGACTCTACCAAGCTGAATATTCACATACTGTGAAGAGCAGTTGATTGTTTTATTAAGACCCAGTTTAAAATGCGCTGCTGTGAAAGGCAGGCAGACTTCCCTTCAGAAGCTCTCATGGCACTCAGCTGACATCTGCCTGCAAATACAGCATGTAGATTCATGCATGTTCACATGCCACTGCTGTTGTGTGCTGGATTGGCCTGGTTTCTCAGAAGTTAACCTAGGAAAGCACAGACTTAGAGAAGCACAGGAAGGATGCACCTTCCATGGCCCTCTGGGAAGGCTCAGCAATTTCCTGGAAGTGGCTCTAAGACGGCAAGGGTGAGCAGTGAACAGTAATGAAGACATGCTACTATTTATTGCTGGGGTAATAGAGGTAAGGTGGGGGAATCCAACCCACATCTTCCTCCTTTCTTCACTTCAGTAAATACCTACTGAGCACCAGCTATATGCCAGACCCCATTTCTATGCCCAGGGATATATCAGTGAACAAAACAGAATATGTCCCCTCTCCCTGGGGAGCATGTGTTCTAGTTGGCCAAGACGGAGAATACAAACCAGGCGAATATGCAGCATGTCTTTGGTGTCTTTGTGCTTGGAGAACAATCAAACAGGACAGTAGGAGGGAACGTGGGGAGGGGAGAGAGCTGCTGGAAGCTGGGTGATCCAGGCAGCCTCCTTGAGAAGGTAACGCTGGAGCAGAGATATTTGGATAAGATGGCAGAGAGAACCTTCTCAATATGAGGGATGAGCAATGGAGCAGATGTGGCCTGCACCACCCTGGTGCCTGCATTCTAAATGCCCTCCCGGGGCTGGGCTAGGCGGGGTGGGGTGGAGGTGGGGGGGTGGGGGGGTGGGGTGGAGGCAGGGAGGTTTGGGGGAGGCTAGAATGCAGCTGAACCAGCTTGGGATCACAAATCAGAGAATGGCATAAAGCAAGGAGAAGTGAAGCCACAACAGGTGTTCAGAAGCCTGGAAATTCAAGATTGAGTGTTCTTTGTAATACTGGCAATGAACTGCCCGTTTTAAAAAGTGTCAAAAGACTTGCAGTTTTCTCCTTTTTGATATTGCATTAGCCCAGGGAGAATATAAATTTTAGCTTTAATAAGTCGTGGGGAGTACTAACATAACAGCATAACATAAAACAGAACACTATTATCATAATAAGAAAATCTGAGTCCTAGTCTCCCAGTCTGCTATTTCTTGCTGATAGGACCTTGGGCAGGTGCCTTAACCTCACGCAGGTGCAACTTTTGTAGAATAGCGATGGTAATAGTGTACCAGCCTGAGGCAGGAGGAGGGCCATATAAATGACTCTTGGGATCCTCTCCAGGACCAAAATGGGCCTTATCTTTTTTACCAATACCACATAATGTTGCAAAGGAACACAGTTAAAAAAATCAGAATTGAAGTCCACCAAAACTGATCATGTATTTTGTAACTTTTATTTGTTAACATGATGAAGGTAATATTCACTAAAGAAAATTATAAAGTACATGAAAATCTGCAGAAGACAATAAAACCAGTACCCTTATGTTATACACTGTTAGTATATTTCCTTTAAAGCTTTCAAATAAAATGTATATATGCCTTCTGTTGTCGCTAGTTCATCACTAATTTTGGACCTGCACCTTATGGTGGTATGGTTCTGTGTATCGCTTTTTTTCAAACTTCTTATGATGTAATGAGAGATTTCCAGTTTAAATATTTTTGAAAACATAACTATAATGTTTAACAGCTGCATAATATTTCATTTATAGAATGCTGCATAATTCCTTCCACTCTTCTTCTTTTGCTGGCCACTGGCATCATTTCCAGTATTTGAATGAATTAGATGCTTTTTAAAGCACAGATTTTTGAAGATCAGCAAATTGTTTCCAAGTAGCCCCTGCTGCATTCTTAGGCTTGCACTGGCCCCTACACAGCTGACTCTGCATGCATTTCACTTTGGCTTCTTCCTGGAGGCTCTCCATTCTTCTCCTGTCCTTGCTGGAGCCTGTGTCTCTAAGGAGCATGTTGCTTTAAGTGCTGATGGGGTTCAGGGGACTCATGAGTGGAGGAAAGGCTGCTTCTGAAAAGTGGTAAGAATTAACAGGAAACTACTACTTTCCACTTGCTTACCATGCACAGAAATAATAGATTCTTTCACTGGAATAAAATGCAGTCAGATTGCATTACGTTGACATTTAAAGAAATTGAGACTTCTTGTTCTTTATGAGTGTTCAAAAGAAAACATTCATTTCACTGGTTCCCATTTCAGCCCAAAGCCCCATTTATTCCTTTAGGTTTGTGCCTAACTTTGCTGGTCATTCAGAAGTTAGATCCATGCAGAAGGCAGAGGTTATGGATGAAATCCTGCAGGGATTAGGTGGCCTCTTGGTTCCTGGGTCTCAGAGTGTCTGATGAGAACTGTCTGCTGAGGGGCTAACCCAGAACCGCTGACGCTTACCGAGTGCTCCCTCCGTCTCCTGGTTGTGCTTGGTATTTTACACACACATCACTCAGCCCTCCCCAGCCTCTAGGAGGAGGACATGGTGTGTTGCCCACGTGTTGCAGACGTGGGGACTGTAAAGCTGACTTGGTAGGGTATCAGTTTGTCATTGCCTCCTTGATGTCTAGATCAGTGG